CAGAAATATAGCACTTTTCCCAGGAAATAGAAAGAATTCCTCTTTTTTCGACCGGCCAAAAGCCTCGCGTCTTCAGAACTGACGGCGCCAGAGAAGATTCTCGCAGCAGGCATTCAAGTATTTTTTCAGAGTCGCCATTTTGTTTGCTGTTCAGACTGAAAATTACTAGTCTGCTTCTGTCACAAATGCCAAATTCAAAACATGTGGTGGCACACAACATTGCGGATCGATTTGTTGCGGATTGGAAGTATAGCGTTCGTACAGTTAACGTGATGGTTCATCAACTTCTTTCATCTTCTAGTGAACAGTTGACGGATGATGGAGACAAACTTTCCGCAGCATACAATTTTGGAATTTTAGAAGTTTAACACTACTGCTAAACGGATCTCGTGGTCCAGGTAAAGATTCGACCCAATGGGAGGAATTCGCGTGCAGATTTTACTTATTTGCAGCGATAGAGAAGGGGTCATTAAATTATACTAAACTTTGACAACAGTTGAATAAAGTAAAGTTTCCCTCCTCCTTGGAGGAACTACCTCACTGAATAAAATTAACTACAGAATGCCTTTTCCTGTCGCAATCTAGATTTCGGTCCCTAAAACTGGAGTCCTTGTTTCTATTTTTACGTAATAGTCTTTCTTGTAGGATATAGGTACATAAAAATCCCGCTTTCTGAAAGTAAAGGCTTAAAACCGAAGAACAGTCCACGTAGAAATAGCGGTTCTATCGCAACAAACTATGCAGAAACTATGGAGAAAACAAGGCTACCTCCACTGGCTTTTAAGTGCATGTGGCAGAAGAATGCATTAACCAATGATCGCAATAATCCCGATAGTAAAATCACAACAGTGAAAAAGGTATTTCGTCCCTACCAAAAGTGATCTGTTATCGGAAGCTCATAAGCCAAATTCCAGCTAACTGAAAAAGTTATTATTATATTAAATTGAGAGGCCCGAGTTTACAGGCCTGGAGTTAGTCTTGAACCAAAGACCTCCCACTCATCAGCACCAGATCGTATACTGTATTACTTTTTAACAGCTCACAGCGATATCATCTGGCTGTTCAGACGACATCAACTCCTAGTTCACTGTGAAAGTCACTGTGGAAGAAACATACTGAGAGATATCAGATTTCGCCCCATTACATGGTGACGTGGAGAGCCAGCTGGAAAGTACAGGCAGTTCATATATCAGAGCGTCCGTGCGTTAAACTGGAGTTTGGCGGTCCGAGTCCGTCCCCGGGTGTTCATGTTCATGTCCCGTGTATATGGATGTGTCATTTTGAGATTTGACGAATTCTCTTCTGAGTCCTAACATCTCACTGCGAATTCTTTCAGATAACTTGAGCTTGTCCAGAGGAGATCTCATGTCCTGCTAGCTTAGTGTGATCGGTTTGGCACTGACTAGCCATTGACCCCTCACGTGTGGAGGCCAAAGAGAACTTGCAAGTACGCAGGTGATGAGCGCGCAACCAGCTACGTATGCCAGTTATAGGTCCCAAATCTAAAACCGCTCTTCCTAAACCTGGTTGATGGCAACTGCTTTGTGGGTTGATGCGTTCTGTCTTCCCCTTCAAGGCTTGGTTGTATGTTACACTTTCCCACTTTCCGATGATCGAAACTGTAGCAGCTGGAACCAATGTGCCTATGGCACATAGCTGACAGATTTAACTGTTTGGTTTGCTGACTTACGCATTTATGCCCGAAACTCGGAGAACATAGTTTGAAAGGTTACAACTTCAAAATCTCTTTTGAAACCGGTTGGCTTTAATCGCCTCCGCGAGCACACGTCAATGGTTTCCTCTACGGTTTAGCTATGGATAATCGTCTATTTGGAAGTCCTACAAGGGTGTAACATTTATATAGTTTCATGGCTGTTGTTGCCAATCCCATGACTTCCTAATGCTGTTGGTCTTTGCAAACAAATGAAACCAACCCTCCCAAATAATTTATAGGTAAACTGACGGAAATGGATGGTAATCACTTACAATCGGGTGTCAACCCGTCAACCGGTTGTGGTGAAATTTAGGAAGATTATCGCTGAGGCAACATGCCGCGTCCTTTGTCAGCCTGTCTTCAAAGTTTACGTCTGTCACACACAACTCAAAACAGCAAAACGACGGCATTTTTATCTGGTTTTGTGACGTAAAAACGCAAAATGTGAACTGTCTTCCAATTTTTTGTTAGGTCTTGATTTGAACCAAAAATGCACCTATCATATCTCTGGAAAACAAACATCCAGACGGTTGTAGAACAGATCATGTGATCAGCCGTTTTGCCATGATTTTTTACTCTCAGTGTTATTTCGACGAAACATATCGGGATAAAATACTGGATATTCCAAGGACGGAACAATCCATTTGACGATCAAAAAAGGTCTTTTATATGATGTTCGTCCAAGTGACTTTGTGCAGCTCGGTTAAGTAAAGATGTATCCCTTTCTAGCTCGCATGTTCAAGTGCGTTTTTTGTTACACAACCAAAATTGTACATTCACTGAAGACTGGTCCCGTCCTTGACGACCCGGAGGACGTGGGGATCTAAACTGCCATCAAGCATCTGTATCAGTCGGCTCTTTGAAAGCACGCTAGTGCACACATTTTTGTCGAGCTGTCTAGCTGCGGTTTTCTATTTAGGGTTGTATCGTGGCAATACAAAAATTATCTACAGCGAAATAGTGCCACCTGCTGCTGCAGATGACATAGTGGACTAACCGGATGCGCCTTCCATTTCGTGAACTCCCCAGTACAGTCTGTTTCTGGTCTGAAGGTGAAATTCACTGAGCTCCACGCATTCATCCGCTTACCCAGCGACCTAATGCATTCAGGTGCACTGGATATTCGCCACAGTGTACGCAACTCACCAGTCGCATTAGTCTTCCCGTTTCAGAAGATGACCAATAAACTGAGACAAGTAAGTGGATTTTGACGGGCAATACAATCAATCAAAAGATTAGACTGCAGTGTGCAGGTCACAAGCGATTATGACCTTTGGGTGGAAAATTACAAGTTCGCTGTTGTAAAATGCATAAGACATAGTAGACGGTCCATTCACGCAACGTTTCAGCGCTGAAATTAATATCAACATCGTAGGACCTAGCGACGGATGATAACATGTTCATTTTTCACAAACAGATAGGAACATAAGGCCTGGTGCACACTGCCTCCAAAACCTACTCATACTTCGACACATGAGGTATTAGATTCTGTTGTTGAATTCTGTAATTAGTTTCCACATAGAGCCCTTGGTACACTCAAGCCAGATGGTTCCATGCAGACATCAGTGCACGGTACATGATTTTTCGTTAAATGGATCCTTCTAGACAGTTACAGCTTCTGACATATTCACTCACATCTAATACACACAAATAGCCCGTAAAACCAGTAAGAATTCTGACCTGGCACGACCGAAACGGTCGGATCCGAAAATACTGGACGCCTGTTTCATTGTCCCCATTATGTATAGTCATTACAGATCAGGGACGCCAGACTTTTGATATGTGGGAAGAAAGTGTCACCACTGCTCCACCAGCGCTCGCTGAGCAAACGTCGATAGTAATTTTTAAACAAGTTAACATCTTCATAATTGAATGCTACGGGCCGTTCCACTTGGCACTTTGAACGAGATCCTATTGATAACCTATTGATTACAAATAGCCGTTGTACTAGTGAAATAAAAGACCAGTTGCTAGATTTTCTGGATGATTCCTTGGTACTTTTCTTCCCTCAAAAATTAGCTGATCCGATATTCATGGTAGTTATAGACCATGCCAAAAATTCACTATGTTTATCTTTGTAATGTACTTCTCATAAGGTTGCCGAAAATCCATCGACAGCCCACGACCGGTTTCGCCCTTCTTGGGGCTCATCAGGTAGGCGCAGTCCCCGGGTTTCCGTCAACCTTATGTTCTAATTGTTACCTTCTGAGTTTTGATTTCGCCTTCGTTATTTTCATGTTTGGTTTCTCGGCACCTATTGGTTCTTAAATTTGAAAAAAAATAACTCAGCTTGATTTTGGAAATGAAGAGTTCATTGTTGTCGAAACTAGCTCGATCTAGTTTGACTGTTACACACATGGGTACCATATTTGGTCTTCCTAGCTAAAAATGGTGGATATGTGCGGTCTATTTTACGCCTATTCTTTGATGAGAATGATTTATTCAAATTAATTCAGGGGGTTAAATTGCACTATAAAGGTGAATCATGGTGCAAAAATCTTGAGAGTGAGGTGTGCAGAAACCTCGCGCGTTTTTGTCCTCCGCGAATGAGTTGCACATCACAAATTTGTAGGATGTATTGAAAATACTTTCAAGAGAAGTTCGGTTATACTCACTGTATTCTCTGAACTTGGATGTCCAGCACAATGATTTGTGTGGAGTAGGACTACTTTTTGGTGTAGTATGGCTGAAGCAACTTTTACTAACCCAATTGATGGAACCGGTTCCTTGCTAGCTTAGTCGAGTCACTGCGCTTCACCTGGGATCTTCCTGCTTAAGCTGGTTTACACTAACGAGCAGCGCCTAATTCCCCATGGGGCTACCTGTTTGTTTCCTTTTTTTTATAATAAGTGCTATAACTGGAGCAAACGAGGTTACAATGTCACCGGATTGTCAGTCAGTTGTAGTGATCTAAGAAACACGCGTTCCCAGTTTCTGTCAGGCCGCAACCACTATTTAGTTTGCCGTTTACGGCTGACATACCAAGGACAGGCACAACATCACTCTTCATGTTATTCTGTGCTGTACTGTTCCAAGGACACAGTCGCCTCTTCTCCCTGCGCTTCCTTGTGTGAGTGGGTGGGTCTGTTTACAAGCGTACGGATAGCGGTAACCTAATAGCACCACGTCCTGTTTGCGTTGGTGCTCGTTCCCGTAGGGCTTGGTCGAATAAGGATGTGCACCAAAGTGCCCAAGACGAAGCAATGAACAGCACGGGCACACCTACACACATGGATAGAAACACACGAAGTGACCGAAGTAAGTTACACGATCCTTCCTTAAGCAAGAAAGAAGTGCTACATATTGGATCACGCGGGTGTACTATCTCTCTCCGTTTTGTACTACACTGGTACGCGGACAGATTTACCAACGAAGTTGAAAGCCTATATTTGTGACCAACAGTTTATTCCGGTCGGCCTAAGTAGAAGAACTAACATCCAGAGACCTGTTTAACGTTCATCGAAAACCTGGGAACGGGTCTCATTGTCCTGGGAAAGGTACGCAAAACAAAGAGTCAGGCACAATTAACTCCTTTAATCTGACTAAGTAATCATTATTACACCATGAAAAACCAGCTGGATCACCTATAATTGTCTTCTGCGCTGTCTTTTCCAGCATGGAGAATGCATTTAGTAAGGAAATAAAGGAAGTGTTGGCCCACTTCGATGTGGATGAAGAAACGGGATTGAGTGACGACCAAGTCAAAAAGTCGGAAGCCAAATATGGCCCAAATGGTAAGTCATCTGAACATCCACCCTACGTTCCGTTCTATTCGCCTGCCGTATTTTTCAAATTATTGCGTCATTTCCAGTTCAGATAGCATATTTAACATACTTTTGTGTTTGTTAATTCTTCTAACCGCGGGCGCAGTCAAAAAAATCTTTCATCCTTACTAAGCCCATCTATTTTTAGTGAATTCTGAAAAATAAGTTACCTAGCGGAATCGTGCATAATATCAGCTGAGTTTGCTCAGGCTTTCTTCCATAACTCACTCAAAAATTTCTCTATTTAGGTGCCAACTAGTCTGTTTCATGCAAAGGTTGCAGGTAGTACAGTGTTCGGGGTGTATAGTCAATTTTTGAACCATCGTTAGAGGCGCACCGATAATCCGAAACTATCGTGATATCAAACTATGCTTTGTCGTTACTAAGCCTTCTGTGATGTGCTAAATGCATGCGTACTTCTGCGATTGCACATGTTCCGACGCTTTTCAATGAGTGCATAAAATGATCAGTAAGTAGGCTAATTTCAGTAAAATCTGGGCCATTGCCCAGATGGACCAAAATACATTCTGTGGAAAGATTATTATCCCAATAAATTGTTTTTCTGGAGGGATCATGTGTTTGGTAACTATCACCTTATCTTTCCTTATGCTTACATTCACACCCGGTCCCTAAACTGGACGTTGAACTTGTCACTATATATTACCCACCAAAGGGAAAGGTGAAGGATATTCGATTGAGAATACTCAATCCTCATTAGGATTAATCTTGAAGTCCACATTGAGATGTGAATAATATAAGTACAAAGAAGTTCATACTGTTTCGAAATCTACTGTATTCCAAATATACATGGTCCCGAATAAGCAATCTGTCAACGCTTTGTGAACGAGTAAATACGGGAACGAAGCCTACGTTCATGCCATCTGGGTTACTGGTACTGGATCCCCGACTTTGAAGTGAACGTATCTCCCCTTATATTGTATACAATTAGAGAACATAGTGGTTTGTTCTCCATTCATTTCCTGCGAATACAGATCTCACCTTATGAAATCAGCAATTATCGCAATACAAAGCTGGATCATTCGGTTGCTTGTCGGCACTGTGGAAATAACGAATTATGTGGAGTGAATTGTCTACAATGCATGAAGTTCTTAATAATTGGCTGGAAACTCGGAAAATGTAACAGGGCACAGATCATGACAAACTAAGCAAGGGGTGCTGGAAGTGGATCGCTACAACACACTTACAAGTGCATTTATTAGCATTAGTTTTTTAAGCGAAAATTTGGCTGTGCAGTGCCTGCGCATTCAGTAGCAGAATAGTTGACTGCTTATTTGAAGATAATACATTATTATTCACATATCTGCAAATCGACTTTAGAATAACCGGAGAGTCAGCTGTATTCCAATCAAACCTTTAACCGAATTTGTTGCCTCATGTTTTGGTCGCAATGGTGATCCACAGGCACTTTCCTTCACAAGAGTTGAGATTCGGCTGAGATTTGGCCAAGTATCCACCTATCCTCGTTTTAATCCATATATATATATACCCACGTAAAATTTTGTCCGAGTACGAAATAAAAGTGTTGGAAACTCGAGGGCCAAGCACATATGATGAAATCACGGGAGAATAAAATCAATATTCGGCCAACGAAGATTTTCACGCACCTTGTGAGTACCGTCACAACATGAAAATTGCTTTTATCCGAAGGCTTCTCACAAACAGCATAGTGTTTCCACTTGGTTGTTCTCTGTACTAAGAAACAACCAACATTGCTCCCTTCTCACAACCCACGAGAGAAAACCGTTTTTCAAATAGGTCCACTATAGCTTCGTACTGTGAATCTTACTTCGCTCTATACTCTTAGATTCAACCTAGGAGGGATAGGCTTTCGCAAGGGATTATTGACGTTTCTCTATTAAGGCACTGCCTCTGGAAAGAAGTTCAAACTCTTAGAGTGAAATCCATGAGCGTTTTTCCACAAGCTTCATCGTTTATGCAAGCTTTTGTAAAATCCCATGCGAATAATCTTCCCGCAATATTCCACAGTGATTTGAGTTTAGAGACAGTGCTACTAAGATGCTATGAGCAATAGTTGAAGTGCATTCCCAAATATGCCGTGAGACATCTAGGAATCAATGAGCACAACAAGGAAGTACGTTTCAAGGCTGAATTCTACAAAAGGCACCGGATGGTAAATTTTTTTTCGATCGACAGAGTATCTATTTAGTCGACGCTCATTTAGTTTTCTTTTAACGGATAGCTCTCCTCCTTATAAAATGGACTATTTTTGAGTTCCTGATCTATTCTCCCAGTAGGAAATGAGTAGTTTTAAGCGTTTCTCATGGTTACGGTTGCACTACCTTGAGTTTCGGCTCTTTCCTGTGAATAATTGATCTTGAAATTTTACCCAGCCAAGGAATGGGGTTAGGTTTAAAGTAAATTGGGACTGATCATCATGTTTTATCAGCATCGAATGTGTGCTTTCATCGGACCACTGCATCACTCTTCATCCTCTGTTGTCAGTTAACCAGACATGTAAGAGTACATTTTAGCCCAAGAAACCCTAGTGCACAAACATGCAGTGACGAAAACGTTGAGGTTAACTTTTTCTTCGAGTATAATTTGGTCTTAGCTGTACAGAAAAGCCTCAGCTTGACACATTTAATCAGGTCTTTTCTTTGTCAATTCATTTCAGAGCTCCCAGCTGAGGAAGGTGAGTTTACCACTAAAATAGACGTTGTTGCCTGTGAAGTTGACGGTATAATTCTCATATCAATTCCGATGTATTTCTACGATTCTTTTCTAACGTAAAATTCTATTCAACGCTTTCAGCTAAGGCCCTGTGGGAACTGGTTCTGGAACAGTTTGACGACCTTCTTGTCAAGATTCTGCTTCTAGCAGCCATAATTTCCTTCGTAAGTTCTGTCTACTCATTGCCATTAGGAACTGTTTTTCGTTGGTGGTGAGGAAATTGGGATTTTTGCTCATATCAATTCCGATGTATTTCTACGATTCTTTTCTAACGTAAAATTCTATTCAACGCTTTCAGCTAAGGCCCTGTGGGAACTGGTTCTGGAACAGTTTGACGACCTTCTTGTCAAGATTCTGCTTCTAGCAGCCATAATTTCCTTCGTAAGTTCTGTCTACTCATTGCCATTAGGAACTGTTTTTCGTTGGTGGTGAGGAAATTTGGGATTTTTGTAGAGATTTCGTCCTGTAAGTGAAGTCAATCTATGCTGAAAAGCCGAGAAGCACTGTACAGCTGTTTCATCCTTATTGGGAATCATCAGCAGTGCGCATCTCACGAAACTTCGGAGAGTCTCGAACCCGCAACCTCCCGGCTAGTAGTTTGAACACAACCGTTCGACCACGAGTGGCTGATCAGCACTGTGATTAACTCACACTTAGATAGATGGCTTCACTTACAGGACGAAATCTCCACAACTGTTTTTTCTTCCTATTTTCCACATCGTCCTTGGTTAAACCAACCGCTTTAAGCAGAATAAATAGGCCAAGAGAAAAAACTGAGCAGCTTTGATTTTACCGGTGCTGACAGCAAAGCTTCGAATCATTTCACTAAACAACTGATGAAACGTTTCACTATTTTCCCCTCACGTTTTGGGACAGGTTCGATGAGAATCATAAATATTTTCAGATGGCAATCAGAAAAGCAGCTTTCTAGACGTGTAAAATGGTGACATTAAGAGTTATGTTTTTAACAATCCACTTATCTATGTTTCCATTAGCTCCTTGATGGCTGCTCTCATTGAGAAGATTCACTTTCATGTTTGGGGTTCGGGGGACTTGTTTTGAGTCTTCACGTCACTCCCAACCAAGGTTGGTTCGAGATATATACTTTGCACAGTGGTGCCGGGTTCTTTTGGCATGCTACATTCCGCCCAAGAAAAGCATTTTTGGCACAGCCAAATGCCTCAGCTTGATAATGACGGTCCTTTAGGCGGAAATCATGCTGTTCTGAGCTTTGCAAAGTTAAAATCCAACTTTACCTCGAGTGACTAATTAATTCACTGTGCAATTTGACGCATGTGCCTGTGAAATGATAAGGTAGATTTCATCGTCCAGGTTATTGTGGACGCGTAAGTTATGCACAATACAGCTTCGTCCGGATAGGGCGCGACAAATGTTCTCTGTTTACAAAACGCTTCCCAGTGTAAGTGAAGAGTGAAGAACATACCCGGTGGTCTTGGGAGAGCGAACCACTTTTCGATTCGCCCACCACATGGACAGAGCGGAAACCTGAAGGCCGAAACCTCAGCCTGAAGCTTGAAACCTCAAGGATATAGGGTCCCAGACCTCAAAGGATTACGCAGGATTGGAAAAATAGTCAGTGCTCTGTAGTCAGAACTGTTCTAATTTCTCAGAATTCTCGAGTAATACCGGAGAAGTACCAAGCTGTGAGTTTGAGACCTTTGCAACCTGTACGCGTATAACAGAAGCGGTAAATATTGCCACGGTCTGTTAGATTTTTAACAGGCTGCCTATTTATGTCCGTTCTAATGATTCAAATAGGGGACTAAATGTGATCCCTTTTAAGGTCCAAGCGCTTCCACGTAATATTCGCCCGGTAATTATCATGTCCTTCTTAAGAATCGTAAAACATTTGGAATAACTACCTGGTTGTTAACCAGTAACCAGTTTTCCTAACTGCTAAGCTACTTGAAACAGGTGCACTTATAATCAATGAGAAAAGGGTCCTTTCCCAATACTTACTAGCCCTAAGATATTCATGATGCTATTCTGATAATATCCATTAAACTAGGGCACATAAAATGATGCGGCTAATCTATGTGATATCAAATGAATCTGCACCACTCCAGACGGAGTGATAACTTTTCTACTCTAACCAGCTGTTTAAAATATAAAAGCATCTTTTTTTTAGCAAACATGGTTTACAGCGCAGCCTATTAAGTTAAAAAACGGAGAACAATGGTGTAATCTAGTTAGCCGTATTTTTTGAATACGATCCATATTTCTTTAGTCTGGGAAAACTGAACGCTATCAGAATGAAAACCCCTAGCCTGAAAAATTCTACTCCATGAAGACTTAATAGAATGATCAAGTTCACAATTTCCTTGGTTAATTACAGGTTCAATTGCATCTTTTACGTGGTTTCACTGGAAGCAATATCCCTGCGGTATACTTCAGCAGACAAAGCATCATACCGTAACCACTGAACAAATTCATTGCATTATTTGCGAGGGTAGTATGCGCTCTTCACTTCGAAACAAACGGCAAGCACGTTGACCCTTGAATTTTTCCCAGGATTGCATCTATTACCGAGAAGGAAAACGACATTCTCACCACTAACCTGAGAAACGTGATGCCCCTCCATAGTGCAGTTTGTACATGCACCAATTCAACAACTGCTAATTAACCTGTCAAACAATGTTAATATGGTCACCGTCAACTATGATATAACAGCTGCAATGAGATCGCTTACGTGAACTATCCCCAGGAACGAAAAATTTGAAGTGCTAAAAAGTTGAGGATAACCGATTTTGATGTGTTGTGGCAACATAACTGGATGGAGTCAAAAATGGAAACTGGGTACGCAGGATGATGCGATCATAGTTTGACCCAATAGACTGATATATCACTCCCGGAAGAAGAATCAATGATCCGCCTGAAAATGGAACACCAGAAGAAGGGGTATTTTCGAATTCTTAGAAGAGTAAAATATATTAAATGGGTGTTTGGTGCCAAATATGTAACCTGTCATCAGGGAGCTTCTTTTGTGGGTTAAATTTATGTAGCGGACAAAGCTTACACAACATACACTATGTTACTGTAATAGTTAACTAATAGGTGTGGTTCTGTGGTACGAAACAATACAAACCTGATGCAGTCGACTTGGCACCGATGGTTTGTTCAATGCTATCCTCTGACAGTAGTGCAGTGGACAGGTTTCTTTCAACCAAACCGCCTTATTATATGTGTTTTCAGTGAATCGAGATCACTGTTTTTTGCAAAAGTGAGCAACAGGAAATCACGGAGTACTGCAAATAAAACAAGAAAGAAGAACAAGAAAAAAGCTGTCCTTGATGGATATTTTTTATTGCAGACGATGTGACAAGCAATCAAAAGGAAATACGCAGCATGGGCAGGATAATCCAAAACGAGTGCTGATTTTAGGAACCAACCGAGCAAATTCCAAACAGATGACTTCTACGTTCCACCTAATCCCAGTACCCCAATAAAGCAGATTTCCTTCAGTTAATTTTGCCTAGGGAAGAAATTGCTAAACTGTATACTAATGCAGACCAGTCTGCTGGCAATTGTAAACTGCCAGCCAAAGAAGCACGTAAACCTATATCTTGATATATTCTGCACCAGGTTTGATCTCTGTTCGTTAGAAATCATGCCGACGTCCTTATATGATACGCACTGACACCAAAGACAAATATAATTTGCACATCCATCGTGCAGTGTGTCTTTACTCAAGTTTACCATAATACAACTACTCAAGAAGAAATGCTCTGCTCACTGGAAATCTGAATATTGAAATAAACTTACTTTTCAATGCATTTCACTATCCTTCCGACTCAGACTGAGAGACATGTGAAAACCTTGTACATGCAGTTTTATGTGGCGTCGGTCAGTCAAGCCTGTCTCCGTTTTGCACGTCGTTTTAACTTTATTTTCTGACGTTTTGATGGTCCGGTGTACGGTTGCAACAGTTGACAAATGCAACAGACGTGACTTGTGTGACCTCCCTACCCAGGTGTGAACTCCCATGCAGTTTAACCATGTGAACCAGCTGAGATTTTTTACTAATGGTTGCGCTCCTACACGCTAGCATCAGAATGACGAAATTCGGTACACGAATGCAGAAATTACTTCACCGGTATGCTGAGCTTTTGAAATCCGAGGCCCCTCATTCTTAGGAGAAATGAGAGCAAGAGTTCACCACAATTACTCCATTATTCGCTCCACTTAACTATCTTTTCATTCGTCAATGAAATGGGAAGGTAAGGATGTGTCTATATATGAACGCAGCAAATCACGTGCAGTCTGTATAAATATTGTACCTTTCTTTTGGGTTATCGTGTTCAGGACAACCAATGGAAGTCGGATGGGCTTTAAGACCTAAACAAATAGAAACCGCTACGGGCAACTGCAAATTTCCATAGGATTAGCCCACGTCCCTTGACGCATTCATGACTAAAACAGCCTCATTATAGTTTGGGATAGAAACATTTTTATGTCTGTTAACCGCTAACCTATTGTACAAGACCACCGATAAGGTGTATTTAATTCCAAATTTCCTTCCCGGACTAACTCATGGGGAAACAAATCCAGTAACAAGTTTTCGACTTCGAATTTTTACGAGGTTTTTTGAACAAAGAATAAATTGGAAGTTTAATCGCCACAGTTTTTCTTGTTTATGTTGAAAGTACGGGTAGTTGTGCAGCAAAATACCGACCCCTATAAGAACACTCAGTCAAACAATTTGAAATTATACTGATATAATACCACTTAAGCTGGTTGAGTCAAACCAGAAATTCTCGTGATTTTGTTAGAACAATAATCCACCACCTGATAACCGTGTGATACATTTGGGTTTGACATAGTTTTCGGTGTAGGTTAATGTTCCTGTCGCTGATGTATTCCGGGAAATACGAACTGTGTGAAATAGGAAGCTATTTTGAAAAGCTTAGTCCCCTTTCTTTACAGAAACTAAGTGAAGGCCTGGAGCTAGGCAAAGATGTACTGTATGCAAAGATCAGATTTTCAACAGACCAAAGGAACTGGTTTTGAGATTTCAGAGTTATAGCAGATCTGTCCCTTTCGGTGCCTAACTGTCATGCAGGTTGGGATACTGCTAGTTTGTCTAAGCCTAGACAGGGGTAGTCGAGATGCAGAGATCGGGTTCAAACCACGGACCTTCCGGTCATTAGATTCACGCCCTAACCACTGAGCTACCTAGCCTCCAAATCTGTCAATAGTTCAGTTTGAACGTCAGGCCCTTCACAATTATGATACTCCTTTGGGTTCTTAGATAAAATAGGTAGGCGACAACTTTGCTAAGTAGATTTCAAACAAGTCCTCCTTGAGCCTTACGGTCTGGCGTATTAGTGAATATTTTTTCTTTGATTTTTTTATCGAATGCACCACTCCTTGAATGATCACCACTTTCTGGCTTTCCACAGTGGTACTGTTCCAATCTTTGTTAGCTATTCTTTGAAAAGACCGATCCCATTGATCGAAGCGTCAAACAGTTCTTTCAAATATATTATCCATAGCACCACCAGCAGTTTCACCCCTAGATTTTGATACACACCGCAGTCGTTCACTCCAGACTTCAAGGAATATATAAAGTAGCAAAAAGCTCAGTTGCAACTTCACCGCCCATTGTCGGCTGCACAGGAGTAGAATGATTTCCCAGGAGCAAAGGAATACATAAATATGCCTGCTCGTTTATTTTTAGAAAAGAAGTGAACATTCGTGTTTACGTTTTCTTCAACTTGTCATTAACTTGCTTTGATTCTAAGGTGCTCGCCTTATTCGAAGAATCAGAAGAAACGATCAGTGCGTTTGTTGAACCTTTCGTCATTTTACTCATCCTCATCGCCAATGCCGTAATTGGTGTGTGGCAGGTAAGTGAATCCTTTACGGTTGCAGTGATTGCTAGGCAGTATAGCATTACTTGTTTATAAAATGCTCCCTAAGAAACCCCTTAAGGGATACATTTTTGTGATTCACATTCTTTGGAAATTTCCGCTCGCTCTGGCTCAAACCAGTTAACAACCGTACCGATAGTTGGCACCTTGGTGCGTGACATTAAATTTGAAATGCATGCTAATTTAATCCGTTCAAATAATGACATACAACCATTTGTGATGTAGTGCCATTCAACCATGGCGCCCTTCTGGGCCACTTCACGAGGTCATTTGTCTCCACCCACCCTCAAGGATCCTGTCGATGCCTTGGTAAAGGAGGAAGGACACAGGGAGGACATTTGAAGTCAGATATTACGCATAGCCAGGAGTAAAGTGGGTTTTGAGTGGTGATGAATAAATGTTGTAATCTCTAGGGTGGAATGGATCGTAGACGCTGCTCAACTACTACAGCAGATAGCAGTTTCTCCAGTTTCAAGATAACTTTTCAGTAGCTAGAATAGCTTTGTGTGATTTGCTTCTTCGCTCTTTGACCAAATCTTAAACAAGATAATGTCTTATGTAAAACCCGGTTTGAATGCTCCAGGATGAACTTCACTGAAGCACTGTTGTTTTCTTACATAGTTACATGGATAGTCAACTCTGATGCATGGGACATCGAGGTAATTGGAAGGAACAAGTGCGACATTTCACGCTTCCGATAGGCGTATTCTAACAGCAGAACATTTGGGCACACAACCACCCCTGAGCACAGAAATTTCCAAGTATTTACTCACAACCCGTCTAACTGGTCATCTAATCACGGGAGGAATTATTATACACCAACATGCAACTCGGATATGAAATGAGTGCTCAAAATTTTATCAGATTTATGGAAGTTTGATGTTTCGAAACAGATTAGCTCAAAGCAACTACTAGGCACTTTTACCATAGAGTCGCTGAATACTGATCTATGTTCACACAATAGTTCACCTGTACACTACTCAACCTGGACTGAATTTCCCATATTAACCAGAGGCGCAGCATGTCAATTCATTTTTGCTTTGATAGATGTGTTTTCCATTTGATTTGCTTTCAGAGAACACAGCTGGTATATGTAGTCCAACAACACAGGCTATAGTCTTCTTACCGTCAGTAGTAGATGCTTGAAGAAAAGTTGAAAGACTTCACGCGGCATATGCCCAGTCTCACCTTCATTTTATTGGCGTACTACGGACGAATGCGTGTAGCCTGTTGTGTCCACACGAACTATTAAATTAAAGCTAGTTTTAATGAAGCCATATCAGCCCAATACGTATATCTGCTCCCATCGCTTCGCATCGTAGCCTCTGGGAATGAAATAAAAACATACACATAATGTACTTACAATCTGGGGAACGATGCCCAAAAAGGCGAAATCGATGCACAGGTTGTCAGCTAGTCTTCGGGAACCTCATCACTACTGTGTTGTTTCAAGAAAAATAACTTATTGTTAGCCTCAGTGCATAGAACATATTGCTTCACTTCATGCTATCCACAGGAACGAAACGCTGAATCGGCTATTGAAGCCTTAAAAGAGTACGAACCGGAAATTGCCAAAGTCTTTCGAAAAAACCATCACGGCATTCAAAGAATCAAGGCACGTGAACTGGTCCCTGGTGATATTGTTGAGGTCTCCGGTAAGTATTTTTGGTTGAATTGGATAATAAAGACAAATGAGTCTGTGCATTTGACTAAATGACAGGAGATCGGAGCTGGTTGCTGCAAATGAAAGGAAAGTAATCGGAAACTGACTGCTGGGCTTTTGAAGGCCCACAGATCGGCTTCAAAAATCCCTCATGTGATACAATACCCCCTCCATTTGGTGACTTCCTGTGACAACTCGTTCTCATTTAAGGATATATACCTGCAGTTCCGTGGTCTCGCTCCCCAGACCCAAACGAATGGCGGAATGTTTTTATTTTGTCGACCAGACTGTTTGGAAGTGACTAATCCATTCATCGATATAGAATGTCGGAAGTTGTTCTAGTTTGCTTCTTCTGAAGTTCGCCTTCTGTCTGTTCTTCCGTAAATTATGCTTCGCTCTAAAAACCTCACCATGACGTTCCGTCAAACCAGATTTTCTATTTGTCCTGCAACTGTGATTGACTTCGGTGTCCATCGGTAGCATATATTCGAGTGCTACAGTCTGGCCGTTTAACTTGGGTAGAACTTTATTGGTTCCGAAAAAAAGTGTACCTAAGGGGGCTTTCGTTAGGCTCATTAACTTAGCTGACTGAGTAAGACTACTTGATCCTTCGAAACTTGAGAAAGTTCAGCTCAGTTCTACAAGTGCTGATTTTGCTGTAGTCTTTGACTTGGTTGGGCCACTAAACAACTTGGCTGCCTGTGAATACCCGGGTTTATAATCCCAGTAGACACTTTGGTAGCCCAATTCACACATGGAAACCTTCTTTTCCTAGCGTTATTTTGTAATTTAATATTTCGCATGCTATCGTTATTAGAAATCTAACGTGCATATTCGCATTGGGCGGGTTACATAGGTCTTAAGTGACAGTCTTTAGAGGTCAACAACATGATTACCCTTGATTTAAATTTGACTAACCTCATCTCATGGTTTAAAAAGTTAACCCCAATAACTTTCGCTGTAGAAATTCTCGGGTATTTGCTCTCGGATGACACAACCAGTAGAAAATGCGATTTATCGTCTCATCTCATTTCCTTGTTGGATTTTAGTTGGCGACAAAGTACCAGCTGATATGCGCATCACTAAAATCATGAGTACCACCTTACGAGTGGATCAGTCCATCCTGACCGGTGAATCTGTGTCTGTGATCAAGTTCACGGAAGCCGTACCTGACCCAAGGGCTGTGAATCAAGATAAGAAGAACATGCTATTCAGTGGCACTAATATTGCAGCCGGTAAGGCACGTGGCGTCGTTGTCTGCACAGGTCTAATGACTGAAATCGGTAAGATCCGTAACCAGATGATGGACACCGAACAGGACAAGACACCATTGCAGCAAAAGCTGGACGAATTTGGCCAACAGTTGTCAAAGGCAAGTTCACATGAGCCATACCACTGTTTACTAATAGCACACTCATATTCTAGGCTGTACTGCTGTAGACGATCATACGCTGCATACCCAGGGAAGTATACTTTAAACCAAAGAACAAATAGTCTTGAAAGCACGAAACCCCATGCACTAAGTCCTCGTAGTCTGGACCCAGTTTACTTATCTACAGAAGTCATTTAATGCTAGAATTGTATGTTAAACGGGACACTGGCGATTAGGTAGCTGTGGCCTCAGCTATCACATTTAACTTGCCTGTCTTCAGTCACTTTTTGTGCTTATACATCAAAAGGCGAGTTGGAGGAGATTTCGAGCGTCACTCGAGCTTGTTAGCCTTGCCTGTTACTTGCCTTCCAATATGTCCAGTTAGGACCATCGACAGTTCCTGAGTAACTGCCAATGACAGCATTTGTCGCCAGCAGACCCACGAATAGTGATCGCCTCAACATCATCCGGTGCAGTCTCTTACAATATTCATCTAGATGAATATGACAATGAGCGGCTCCGAAACAACTATTTCACTTCGGTGTACTGCATTATCGTAGGCTGTTTCGTCACGTGACCGGATCAGTGATGGGAACACAAAGTAAGCCACAGTTCCGTCATTATGAACACCCTGCCCATCTTCATCCTATATCATCTACTGATAGTCCATTCCCAGGGCCGGTTTTTCTCTACCCTAGAAAACGTCATTGGCAGAATGATAAAGTGAGATAAAATAAAAGGCCACAAAAACGAACGACAACAAAACGTTTTTCGACCGGGTGGTAGTGGCGCTAATAGGAAATGGTGACAGTGTCAGAGGCCGTCCCAACCAGCCTTTATCGGTTGGTCTTCAGTTCCTGAAGTGTTCACTGACTCCATCGAGCGCCTAATAGCATCACTGTACGCACACAACCACACAAGTGTACGGGAATGGACTGTTTTTAAGAATGTACCTTTACGGGATTGTCGTCCTCACGTGGATGATGGTGTCAGTGATGGCACCTCAGCACTAAGTGAATTTTGCGTCTGCATGTTTTAGTGAACGGCACAACGTAGTGTTTTAACGGAGGTGGCAAACCTACCACAGACTTACAGTAAGTGTATGTGTTCCCGTAACGACAACAGCATACAAATGCGTGTGTGCTTAAGGAAACCGATGCACATGTGTTTGTCTGCGGTGCGCGGTCACAAAGGTGCACCATGTACCGTGCGTCCCGCAAGCCTTACTTGCCTGCGTGTTCATAGGCAGTGTGCGATGAAGGTGACCTTCAGAACTGCATTTCCTCCAAAACTATGGATGCAACTGGCTGCGCACTCCCTCAGTACACTTGATTGACATCAGTAGAATATTGCCGATCGATTCCCATTCCCAGTTCGATTATGCAGGCCGACAAGCCGAATTGATCAATGCCTCGCTCGCGTGATTTTGAAGAGAGTGGTAACTGGAGTTGTGTTCCTATCTATGTAGGCTACCACTCAGTGTATTTTAGACCTTGAATGGATATTCCATATATAGACTGGAAATGTAGTATTATTGAGACTAATCTGCCTCTTCCAATACTCGAAAACCGGAAACCAATATATGTTACCGCCCGTTTGGGGACGACATTATTCACTGTGGAAGCAACAAAAAGATGATGCGTTCGGTTAAAGCAAGGTAACCAAATACAACCAGACTGTGATAATACAATACAATCCAGAGAACTGGTTAACTCAGTAAGATAATTCTCGGTTTGATTATGATAAACTGATTACGATTCTAAAGGATATCTTTGTGTTTTCCACTAGATTCAGGCATTGTGAGACGGACGCACATAAACCGTTCTCTTCGAGAGACCCGGTTCATGTGCGTGCTCCCATCGATTGAGTAATTTGCGACCTTTCGTGTAGGCAAGTTTCTCTAGCATATAACGATGTTGAAGCAGGTTACTTGCCAGTACTACACTTCAGTTGTGAAGAAATTATGTTCAGAATTAGTGAAATTTCCGACAACAAAAGTGCTTCGGCTTTTCTGTAATTAGGTGGTAGATTTGATTTTTAACACCCGACAGTCAGATTGATCTGAGGTCCGTATCACCAGAGAAAATGACAAAATATCTGGCCCCACTTCAGTGCGTTTCTTTTCCAAAAGTATTACCTTTTTTAAACTCACCTACCAGTGAACCACGGGAACTAGTTGATGACATCATGTATGTTTGAACGGCCAGATATATACTCAACAATACCTGTCTGTTAGCATATATGCTGATCACTTTCATTTAACGATCGTCCTATTGTCTTCGCTATATATTGAACTATGCTCTGCTTGGGACTCGGCCCACCAGGCTAGGTTTGATAGTAGTTCGAAATCCTGATGTAAAGGAACCACGAACCGAGCAGAAAACATCCAACAAGCTCTTCAAAATAAGTTCATTAGTCATAATAGCGTTGTATTTTTCCACTTATGGCACTTATACGACGTGAAAATATCTTATCGGCCATGTCATGTGCCTAAGAAATGTAGCAAACACTTTTTTTTGTGCTTGCGGTTCTTCTTGATACCATGTCGTAAGCACTAGAAGAAGAAAGCATTAGTTCGGCAATTTTTTGCTTGATTCAATTTTAGCTGTCTACAGTGCCTCTAGTTCACCGTGGTTTTCATCATCCATCTTAGGGATTTTATCTGGAATATCACTTTCGACCCTCACTGCTGCATCCATTCCAGTGTATTTCTCCCAACTAAATACTTGAGAAATGTTAACTATATGCCCTTAATGAAAGTAGCAAAGGGATCTTTGCTGTCGTTTGCCTCAACCTCAACCCTTTCAACGTATCCTCTTCCCATTGTGATCGACCATGTGGAAGTCATACGGAAGGAGGGCAACTTCCTGCTTGATTTTCACGAGTTTCACAAAAACTAAATCGGTGTGCGCGAACTTCGTATAATTTGGGTTCAAAGGAAACGCAAAGACTGTGCATACCCACTGAGCTTCAAGATCAGCGAAACCGGTTACGGGTTGCCGTAGAGTCTTTAGCAACCCTATGAGCAGCGTTCATCCAGGAAACAAGGCTGTCTTCAAGATTCAACCTTGCAATAAAGACTAATGTTGGTCACAGAACTACATGAAGTGAATGTTTATAGCCTGTTCTTCCTGACCACCAGCGACAACGAATTATCTGACTGCCATCGATTGATACCAATCCTTGGTAGTGATCATGTACAAAGCCACAATCGGTTATCTTCACGCTAGTGTGAGAATGGTCGTGGCTTGCATGTATGTTAGCGTAAGTCAACTCGCATATCAACCCACCTGAGTTAACCAGGGTCAGGCCACATGTTCCAACCGGTATGGTTAAAAGGTTACCTCTGGACACCGACTGACCAGTGAACTGAGAGATTCAGCACATCTCTCAGCAGCACCCAAACGGTCGCTAGCAGAAGCTGCCCTGGGACTGGTACGGTATTGGCAGTTACATGTGACAACACAGAACTGCTACGGCATACCTACCATCAGGATAAGAATAGACATCCGACTTGTGTAATGATTGAAGGGTTTTGAGGGACATTTGTAGAAGGCGAAGAGCGATGGTATTATTGAAAATGATGACAGCAAACTTCGTCTTGCCTGAGTTGGGGATGTAAACATATTAACTCAACTGTTGAGGCTACACAAAATTCAGATTACTATATTTCCCAGGAGGTGTTGATCCAACAACCGGTTGTTAATGATTTTTTCTTTTGGTTGCTAATCGAGAAAGCATAAATGTTACATGCGCTGACAAGGATTTCATGGACTCTGAGTGCCACAAACACCACTCCAATCCAAACTCTTCAAATTTTAGCTTTGCCCTCTTTAAAATTAACACAGCGGTTGATGGACACCGATGGGATTAAATTTGTCGGTCCCTGTCAGACAACGATGTTTTAAGTCTTCGTGATCCGCGCTATTCTTACTCATTTCCCACCACATATTGCGATCCTCTATCTCTTGAAGTATCCGCCTATCGCACAGCTTTTACGGTTAACCTGCTGATAAGCTGTCCCTTCTCCAAACATCACCAGTTTTTCCATCGTTTCAGGTCATTTCAATCATTTGCGTCGCTGTATGGGCCATTAACATTGGGCATTTCAATGACCCCGCTCATGGCGGATCATGGCTCAAAGGCGCCATCTACTACTTCAAGATCGCTGTCGCTCTGGCTGTAGCTGCTATCCCAGAGGGTCTACCGGCCGTCATTACTACTTGTCTGGCCTTGGGTACACGTCGGATGGCGGCGAAAAATGCCATTGTTCGTTCCCTTCCATCTGTCGAAACACTGGGTTGCACTAGCGTCATCTGTTCGGATAAGACTGGCACACTGACAACAAATCAAATGAGCGTTTGCCGAATGTTCATCTTCTCCAAGACAGATGACCGCGCTCCCGAAGTACATCATTTTGAAATTACTGGATCCAAGTACGCCCCGGAAGGCGAAGTGTGAGTCAATAATTTAGTACAAATAAGTTTTTGAAGCCTCTTCCCTGAAGTTTAGGTTTAGTGACTGGAAGGCGGAACCCTCCACTTATTCGCTAAAAATACACGATACTTAAAACGCTTGTCCCTATTCATTTAGTGAGTAACTGGGAATGGAGGGAGATCTAACTCGTCCAGTTTGCGGAATTAGTCTAGTAAACCACAGGTCTCTTTTTTCGGATCTCACTCGGCGAAGCTAAATCAGTTAGCAGTAAAACAGTGAAAGTGACTTGGATTTGTGGAGCAATATTCACAAACAGAAATCCGAGGAATGGTTGCCTGAAGGCGGATTCGAACTTTGCATAAATATCAATGAGATCTACTCACCCAACACTACTCATATATGGTGGCTGAGAGCCGTATTGAAGAAGGATGATACTTTATGCAACAAGACCCAACTTTTCCAGTGCACAGTGCAAAATGCAACGTTATTTCTCAAAAAGAGCGCAGTCTTCTGAGTTGAAAAATTGCCTCAGCTTCAACTGAAGTCTTCAAGCGGACAACAGAAGCCCCTCAATTAGATCTAGTTTACAAGTTAAATAAAAGCTGAACTAAAGTGAGCTCAATAGAGCAAATCACGGTTTGATTTATTCCTCCCAATCGCACCAAGTAATTCGTGTTCAACTGGTCCCTAATAGGTTGATTCAAAAATGCCATGGTATATTTGGCGACCTGAACAATTAGGTACACTCGTTTTCTACAATAAATCTTTCTGTGGTTGTGAATTTATCAATTGTTTCCTACCTTAGTTTCCTGAATGGCCAACGTGTCGAATCTGGGGAATATGATGGTCTAATCGAAATCGCTAACATTTGTGCAATGTGCAACGATTCCGCAATCGATTACAACGACAGCAAGCATGTGTATGAGAAGGTTGGTGAAGCCACAGAGACTGCTTTGTGCTGCTTAGTGGAGAAGATGAATGTGTACAAAACGCCCAAGTCTGGCCTGTCGAAAAAGGATTTGAGCATGGTCTGCAATCACCAGATCCAAGTAAGCTTGCTTGGGACCATCCAGTAACTTAAGCTTCTTTGTGGTTACTTCTTTGATAGTCTGTTCTTGTATCTTTCGACTTATTTCAGGTACCGAAATAAGTGGGACAAAGGGAACCGATCGTTCCGCTCTTATCATTTGTATGTGTATCATGGTTTATTGTGGGCCGCAGGTGTTCCAGTCATCAGATATAAACACCACGGCGAAAAGTTCAAGAAATCTGAATCCCCCTATTATTCAATCCCAAATCTTGTCACGAAATATGTTGCTATAAAAGTCACACACTTGACTCTCAAGATAAATAGCGTTCGCATGATTGATGGTTCATTAGGTTACCCGTGAAGCATCAGTATCCCAGTGTTTGCACTTGATTAGGTCACTTTGGAAATAAACTAGTGTTTAGTTGGCATACATTCAGATAATGGATAGCAGTAGCAATGCAGTGAAGCCTCAATCAAAATCACAAATTACTTCGTTATGGAGACCTCAGGGGGGGCATTTACTTTTTATGACGAGATATGCTGACGGATATCCCATACATTTTCCATAGTATCAAATAACAAGTGTGACCAACTGCTCCATAACCATGATTAAGGAGAGATGTTGCTTATCATTGCTACGGTTATTGGAAGGTTGTGGAACAGAGCGAAATAAACTGATTGCTTATTAGAAAACCAATACTTTACTTGTGAGCCGATAGCACAATGATTCGCTGCCATCAGGATCTTGAGTAACTGCTTATGAACTTCAGGCACGCAATGATCTAAACGTGGGTGAATTTCACCTGTGTGCGCGTTTAAAATGCACTGTTCTTCACCATCTCACGAAGTGGTGGTTTCGCAGTTTAAGCAATTTGTACGCGAGGTTCGTCTGTTTCTGCAAATACCTAACCGCAGCAAACATCATCGTCTTGTTAGATTTCTGGCCATGGTCTCGTTACGATTGCACGTACCTAGGAGATCTTGGGGGTTGAGTTGTGCGTCCTCCCAGAAATAAGGTCCTTAAATGTTAACAAGCCGGGCAGCCTTGCAAAGCTGGGTTATCCTTTTTGGGCGTCATGACTAGTGCGCAACTAATTGAGGATGAACAATTTGCATGTAACGAGGACAATTCATGATAGACGTTAGTCTTCCTACGGAAAATAGTTAACCATTGAGCCATAAAGCCACAGAAATTTTGTGTTTGTCCAGTGATGGGTGATCCCACATTGCGTCAGAATAAAAATGAAGCGTATCACCAAACCATGAACACCACATGTGCACATTGTCCTTAATCTTCTGAAGCCACCACATTTTTGCGTCAATTTATTGTATCCACAGAATTAATGTATTCCAAACTAAACAAGTTTGGGGAAGATCATTAGGTCGTGTGTAACGCTTCTCCACGGGATTTCAACTTACCAGTTGTTCAGGCGCAGAAAAACCTGAACACTGTGCCGTCGGTAGACAACGTGTAGTATCCAATTCGAAACAACAAAGAAAGGAGAGCTGATGAATGTCCTAGCGATACGGGTTCACGTCCACGCTGAACGAATATAAAGTCTCAGTTAAAAACAAATTGTAATATTTCCGTCAAACAGGCCAAAAGCCTCAAAGTGGTCATTGGTGGAGTCTGTCGCTTTCACAAATACGCGTATATCCAGCTCAAAATATGAGCTAGCAGCCCTGATGGGCCCAAAGTGTGAGCAGCAAAAGCCATCGAATTGTTTTGTTCGTTGTTGCATTTCATTCATCATCGCCAATTCTCCTAAAAGTTCTTATTTAGCCTTTGATTTGCCCGGATGTCTTCAAACATTAATACCTTACTTCGGCGATAAGCTTTTGATGTTCACCATGCATGTATGGCGTGACTCCGGATTTTTCTTAGTACATTCTACTGTAAAATATTTCGTAAGTAGTGGTAAACACGGTTTTCGTTTTACTGAATAAAGGGTTTGTTCACACGTAACCAAAATCTCCTAGCTTCCTACCTGGAAATAAGAAGACAATATTGTTTTGTTTACATATCAGTTTGTTAATCCCCATCACATATTTCGTACTTTAGAATTTGTGGACCAAAGAGTTCACCCTAGAATTCTCCCGTGACCGCAAGTCTATGTCAGTCTACTTGTTGCCCAAACCAAATTCGGCCTCAAAGATCCCCAACACCGGCTCTGAAACTGGCCCACGAATGTTCGTGAAGGGAGCTCCAGAAGGAGTGCTGGATCGCTGCGCATTCGTTCGTGTAGAAGGCAAAAAGGTTCCAATGACCCCAACGCTGAAAGCAGAAATAGTTAAGCATGTCGCTGCCTATGGAACAGGCAGAGATACTCTACGTTGTTTGGCCCTCGCTACTTCTGACAGCCCACCAGCCAAGGGCCAAATGAACCTCGAAGACTCCTCCAAGTTTGTCAACTACGAAGTAAATATTCATTCGATTTAAGGGCTACTTTCTGCATGTGTGTTTTGGTAGAAACCTTGGATCTGGAGTAGGTTATGAATGCGTTTTTTGAGAATGATTACAAGCGCACCGGCCCAAGTATATCCCTATTGGTTGATCCGTGGTAATAACCCATCAGGATGCACCCAATCTTCAGTCAGATTGACAGAACCATATTTAGTGTGACTCATTTCTTGGAGAGATTATCTAACATAGGTTGCTGGGAGCAATAGCGTAACTGTGACCAAATAGGACGTCATATGTACGAAGGCATCTGAGCAACCAGAAAGCTATCAGGATGAAACTTGGCACTAACAAACTCTGTTCAGTCGTTGTGGGATTCTGGGGCCTGTATCCCACGGAGCCGGGCCTCGCTGCTTTTCGAACATCCGCGGATCCGAGGTCTGGAAAGAAGTCGCCGGGCCCTTGGGACGTTACAGCAAGCGAGAGCAATTCAGGGGGCTATAGGGGACATTTATAAGTCCACATGGCCTCTAGATGACAACCGAGCTCGTCAGTACATTAAATGGGCTTCTGGGACAGGCCAAACGGTACACAGAGAAAGCGGAGGATGGAAAAGCCAGTAAAGTCCATCAGGCAACTGGAAGGTTACAAATGAACGTAACCATACCAAACAAAAGGTAACGTTACACGCGAACGGTTGGCAGCAGACACATAAAGTGAAGCAAAAAGTCACAGTTCCAAGTATAGTCCACTTCGCGTATTATCACACCCGTAGTACTGTACTACAATCAGCTACAGAGACCGGGGCCAATAGAGAAGGAATCACATGCAGACTGGGCACAACCTGAGCAGAATAACCTGGAGCACGTGCAAAGTGGAGCGACCTCCATCACGTGAATCATAGCCAGATAGGTGCGACCTGAAATCGAGCGTGAATTCCTGCAGAGTGTACTCAGCTACATTGGAAAGAAACAAACGGAGATGAACACACGTGAATATTCGGTAGCGACGATTGCGAAATATGAGCAAGCAGTTTACTCGTCGTCGTAAAAATCACCAGCCGAAATTTGTAGTGGGTAAGCTAGAAGAACAGGTGCAACACAGAAAATCAGGCTGCTTAGCAGTAGACCGAGATATCATATCGTTCGAACATTTTTATTGCTTCAAGCAACCAACAGTATCCTAACAAAATATTCTCCGAAATGACTGAAGTTCAGCAACCTTGAATGGCTCCGAGTTGGAAATGTGAAGAAGTGTGGAGCGGATGAATTGAAAAGTCACGAGTATTTTGTTAGCCACCAAGGTGGCCTGGAGGTAAATATGTCCGGTAACCGCAAAACTGAGGCACTTAGAGCTAAAGTTCCATAGTCAAGCTCAAAACTATAAGTGTCTACGCAAACACATGACCCTGTGGTCAAAAACTTCAAAGTGCTAACCAAAAAGCTCAGGTCGTCAGTCCCTTCACACCCAAGTGATGGGTCACAATATCAACAGAAGGCATGTCGTGGTCAAATCCATCTGGATTCGGCCACATCAGCTAAAACATTCGGTTTGAATTCCTGATCTACCAAATACTCACGAGGTCACTGACGAAGAAAAAGCCAGAATACCATCCAGTCATTTTAGCATAGTAAATATGGTAGACCCGGTGTCATCCGCGGTTATGTATCTGCAAACGTGCGATCGGTAGATCCAAGTAGTTCTGATTTATAGTCACAATTCCAATCACTGTATAACCTTATATGAGTCTGTAACAAGGAAGTGGGGTCATCTGAATACCACCACAGATTCCTAATGGCCTACACATACACTTATGAACTCGTTCTTTCCTATACCTGCAGTGGTCTGAAAATGTAGCTGCATTCCGCTTCTTTACTTTTCAGCAAAACCTAACTTTCGTCGGTGTCGTGGGCATGTTGGATCCACCTCGTATGGAAGTACTGGACAGTGTCATCAAGTGCCGAAAATCTGGCATCCGGGTCATCATGATCACTGGTGACAACAAGGCGACTGCTGAAGCCATTTGCCGGCGTATTGGAATCTTCGGTGAAGATGAACCAACGAGCGGGAAATCATTCACTGGCAGAGAATTCGATTCACTTCCGATTGAAGAGCAACGAGAGGCATGCAGACGTGCTCGACTATTTGCACGTGTAGAGCCAGCACACAAGAGCAAGATTGTGGAGTTCTTGCAAGAGGATGGAGAAGTATCCGCCATGGTTAGTCTCACCTAAAATTTGTGTGTGAAAACCTCGAATTGAGCATGGATTCGCTTTCCATGATACCTTAAGGGTGATGAACATTTTTCGCACTGTATTAACAAAAAACAGCCTAGCACTGATCATCATCATTCTGCCGCTCCCACACCGTGATTCATTTGGACAGATGATCGGTGATCAGCTGGACTGTCCTGACGCGAAATATTTAAGATTCCTTAAATAAGCTGTCCAAAATTACAAAAGTGAACCATCATGTATTAGGACATTTTGTGCCAAAATTTGGCATCACATCCGGAATTTCGACACAACTGCTGGATAGCTTTGGCTGCATCAAATTTACGTGCGAATAGTAAAGTGACTTTTTCTTGCATAAACGCCCTTGTTGGTGGGATCACTTTCATTATCTCCATATGGAACTTCTGAGTCTCTCAACTCATGCGGTACAACTACCCCATCCACTGTGACTCAGACGGACTAGTCTTAAACATCTGTGATTGGAGCGTAAATCTTCAAGAATATTCGTGACTTCCAACTCGAAGGATAATTCTATCATATGCCTACGGAAAATATATTCTCTACTGCCACAGTGGACTTTTTCCGAGAAGCTTCAAATGCCATTTCCTTTTTGTTTAATGAGGCATTTTCCCCAGGGGTCGTTACACAATTGTTTTTGGTGGAAGTACCTTTTGGTCCTTTTGCGATTGCATGTGGTTATGTGAAGCGAATTTCTGTTTGCTGGTGGGTACAGAAGCACAAATAATGCGGCCACTGATTGAGGCTAACAGATGATATTTCTCAACTCAACTTCTTCTTGACTCCCCTAGACCGGTGATGGTGTGAACGATGCTCCTGCACTGAAGAAGGCGGAAATCGGTATTGCCATGGGTAGCGGGACGGCCGTGGCAAAGTCTGCTGCCGACATGGTCTTGGCTGACGACAACTTCCGCTCCATTGTACTTGCCGTAGAGGAGGGTCGCGCCATCTACAACAACATGAAACAGTTCATTCGATATCTGATCTCGTCCAACATTGGCGAGGGTAGGTTCCATTAAACATTTCCCCCGTCGCATTTTACTAAAGCATATCGCTTTACGATACGCACTAATTTTTGAAGATTAGAACTACAGGCATTGATAGGATGCGACTCGTTGCTGAATCGTTCCGAATTTATTGTTCGAACAGCACTTCTAATGTAAACAAAAACCCCGAGGAAATTTAAAAGGATTATGAGACTTGTCTAACCTCGCTGGTTATTTCACAAATAAACAAGTACCTTCTCTGATCTCAAGGCGGCATGCTTTTTTATAATCCGGCAGCTGTGAAACATCTGGTGTCCCTACCACTCCGCTTGCCTTGCGTGATAAGGAAGTCACTTGTCTGTTTGAATACTGACCCCCAATCGTCAATGTCAGAAACAAAACTTGCAATCATTTTGTTTCCTATTATCCACCAACAATGTCAGCGCTTGCATCTGGATGATGGATGCCGTCGAGAAGCAGAATAGTGTCCTTCGTGCAGAAATTTTCAGCTCTGTCAGACCTCTGAATACCAACCAGAGCTTTTTATGCTCCATGCTAAGAGGAACAGTTGTCAACTTTTTGTTTCTCAATATGCGTTCCTTGATAGTTGACTTGTGACAATTCGGAAGTATAAATCTTAAGAGGACTAGTTGAAAAGCATTTTCCCACTATTCGCGGAAAGAAAATGTCTGGTATTGTTTGTCCTAGATCTGGTCAATATCAAGGTGTTTCTGCTTGTTATTATTCAGAGCCACTGAGAAAGACTACGATATTTCACGTAAGGTGCTGTTTATTTATTCCACGGTGTCTCCTCAAGCCGAAAACCACCTGTTCCCTTCTGTGAACAATCAACTGATGAGTACAAATGGGAGCCATGTTTCTGGGGAAAGACGCATTTTTAACATCATCCACGTATCAGCTGGTGGAAAAATCTAAGATGAAGTTATAACAGGTCAAACATCAGAACAAGGATAAACCACATTACCTAATAAGAGCTACTATTCCTGTTACTTTGCTCCCCTCCCTCATGCTTTTCTGCCTGTCAGTGATAAGAAATTCCGTCAGCCTGATGTAAAAATTGCGTTGTCTGATATGTTGCTTGCCTTTTCTCCCAAGAGAATGTGGCTACCGTATATAAAAAGAATGTGAAATGACCACTTGACTTACATAACCAGTTCCTCTGGCAATTGCGATGAAACAATGTAGCGTGTAAAGCACTTTAACCCTGTCTTTGCTAGACTATTTTCCATTCTCTACTGATATCTTTTCCCTCATTACTCGAGCATTCTTTCCCCGTGCTGCGACACTCCTGTACTTAATACTGGTGTGTTGTTAGTCGACTATTATGCTTCTAATGATTGTGATGTCGACGATGATGGTAATGATGCTATTATTAGCAATGAAGATGATGACACGGATAGTGATTCAGGTTATCGTACCTGGCCGCACACACTTTCAGCTGATAAACCAATTACATGAAGTTGGTCCATCACAAACTTTTGTGATATGATAAGGCCCGGGTAGAATAGGTATTTGTCATTACTCCCGCCCTTGAGCAGCGTTTGATTAGTATTTTATTGAACACAACGTTGCTGTTTGAACTGCTCTGAGGGTATCCACTTTTAACTTGGTAACTGCCACTGACAGTGTATGAGAACCCACCATAAAAGTTTCTTAACTCTGTTCTTTACCTCTAATGCTTCAATTTTGCACAACAAGAATTATGATCCTTGTTTGTGCCACTGAATCAATTAAGATCCTGGCCTGGGATTTCAAGGTAACTCATAAGATCAATGAAAGCTCTGTAGAACTGTGTTGCTTGAAATTCATCAGGTGGGTCCGTTCCATGGAACTCTGTCTTCCTTGCACAGCATCAGTGTTTAACTCTGATGGTGGGCTTCCGTACTTGTAAGTGTTAAAATATGCTCGCATATAGGGAATACTGTTCCAGCACAACCAATTATCGGCTATTTAGTGGCGTAGCTGTACTATGTCTTTGTAACTTCGATTGTTAGGACACCGATGACGGGAATACAGTAGTAATAATAATAATACTAGATAATAATAATAAATTCAGCTGCAACACCCTTTCAATGCATACCCGCCGATAAAACACGCCGGTTGAAATACTATCCGGTCGCCCAAGCCCAGGCAGGAGCAGTCGAGATGCCACGGTTCGGTTTGAACCGCTGACCTCCCGATCATTTCGTTCGTGCCGTATGCATTGAATCCTCTTGAGCCCAACGGGAATTAATTTACCAACTCACCAGTACTTGCATAGAAATTCTGCTAGAACTGGAGTTTATTTACTATCCAGACTATGCTCAGTCAAACGTTTGACAGATGTCCACTTGACGTCTTAAGTGGAATGGTGTTTATTTGGAATTTGCATTTGTACGCAACTATTACTATATTTACGAAAGACCTGGTTAATTTTCCATCATCAAGAGTGAGAAGAGTGCAACCAAAATGTTAACAGTGAGAATACATTGTTCTAATAAAATGGACAACTCACCCCCTTTATCTTCTCAAACATTCATAGGTCCTTCTGGTCAGATGTGGTCCATTCCGTAGAGAAAGTATGATCACATGCCAAGACCTGAGGACACTAGATGTCTGAATGCTCTAGATTTTGGTGTAAGACACTGGGCCTCAAATAACGTTAAGTGTTTCTGTCGGAGCATTATTGGGGGCTGAATGGCTCAACCAGCTACTTCACTTGAAAATAGATCAGGCGAAACTGGTGAACGTTTGTGTCACTTACGAAGGCATTGGGAGTGTTTTCAAACTGGATTTATGGGTTAATGGGACGTACACATCTCTAAGATTCCTGATCGTATTGTTCTGCGTTTTATAATATAACTTCTAGTTTGGCTGTCTTCAGTTTGTTCGATGGGAATCTGACTCTGTTTTCGACCTTATAAATTCACCCCCATACCAGTTGTCAGTATTTTCCTTACTGCGGCGCTCGGTCTTCCGGAGGCACTCATTCCTGTCCAGCTACTTTGGGTCAACTTGGTCACAGATGGTCTTCCAGCGACAGCACTCGGTTTCAACCCACCTGATTTGGATATCATGAATCGACCTCCACGCAACATCAAGGATCCTCTTATTTCTGGCTGGCTCTTCTTCCGTTACTTGGCTGTCGGAGGCTATGTCGGATGCGCTACTGTTGGCGCCGCCGCATGGTGGTTCACACTGTATCCTAAAGGTCCTCAACTCAACTACTATCAACTGGTAAGTAGCACACTGGGCAGAATTCGTATGGCTGGATTTCTAAACAGGCATGCTGACAAAGTAATCTTTCCATGTAGGATACTCTGGTGGTTGCTATCAACTTTACTGCGCAGATTTCACTCCCTAAATGAACAGACAGATCCATTTGTCCCCACTGAGCAGCTTAGGGCACTGGCTTTAACATGTGGCACTTATTCTTTCATTCACCTATCCTCGATGAACGAAGCTGTAATAGCTCGAATCGCCGCATTCAGATACACGCTTTGTGAGCAGAACTGAACCTATAGGTGTGTAAAACTTGGATGATTAATCTTTTGTGACTGCTCTATATTTACACCCTTCCCTAAAAACCCCATAAATAATCAGGCACCGGTGTATACGTGGGGATGATTTGACCATCTATGCAACTATCGGGGCCATTATTTGGCAATGCAATTCACATGGCTACTTCGAAGAAGTCCCATTTCATATTCTTCACACTCGACGGCGTAAATACCGTCAAATTCTCTTCTTGGTGTCACAAAGTTAGGTCTGGCAGACTTCGAACGATTGGGATAAGCCAGCTCATTGAACATCTGCCCTCACTTTCCTGATAATCAAAAGAAGCAAACCGAGAAAGGGTAAAGGAAAATTTTGCTCCTTACCGCCAACCGTATCGTCCGTGCCAAGCTTAAAGTTGTTATCAACGGACTGATACCTGGTTAGGTCGAACATCCCAAAAGCAGTTTAGTGAAGTTGGCTACGTAGTGTAGTCGGATCAAAGTATTGCAGATCAAGCTAGCCAGTTCATATCATATCTCTGGACAGATCAGAGATAAACCTGGCAAGGTGGATAATGATGGTGGCTAATTTTTACTTTGGACCATACAATGAAATTAACTTAGGTGTACAGGTGTAAGCGAGCGGAAGGGCAAAAAAGTGCAGCTAATAATGACCGATTGAAGTATCTGTTAAAACTGCCGTCCTATGAATCTAGAGCTGGAATATGTAGCGAACACGTTGTTTTGCAAGACACTGATAACAAAGAGCTTTCAGTGAAGTGGTCAGCATACTGCTTTCCCAGGCAACCTCAAGTTTCTGTATGGAACTCAAGCCATCCTCATGAGAATGCCCGTAGTTGAGGATCATGCGTACAGCGAGTGCATTTTGTACAGTCGGCCTGCAAAATGCTCCTTCTTGATGAAACGAATTCTCTCTCTAAAACAGGGGATCTCGGATTTAATTGCCGTGAAAGTTAGACCCAGTTGGCTATGGACACAATACTGTGTTCGGATGGATGTTTAGAACGGGTTCTCAAGCAAGCGGTTGAATTACTAATTGTCTTGTTGTCTGCTGAAAAATTTACTAGCTGTAATAAACTAGCTGTAAACAGTTCACAAGTGGTCTACTCAAATGTACAAACTCAGTTACTCTTTTCGTGTGTGGTGGCCAACCACGAGTTCTCATCTTTAAGGTTGAACTGACAACGAATAAATCATATAATCCGTGCATTTGAGCCCATTGGAATGAAATATAGTGCGTGCCTAGCTCTTAAGGAAACCCTCCATGAGTTTGGGGGTGATTTTATAGGAACTTTCACAAACACACAGCAAAAGTCAGTCAGTTATTTAATCCATTTAATTCATTATTAATCGGCTTTATGGACAAAAAGCTAACAAGCACACACTTGTCTTTGTAAAAGCATACAACTTTTTTTCAATGACATTGCTAGTGCATCAGAACAAACGACATCTTAAACATTTTCTCATACGGTACAAGTGTCCCTCACTTCTGTCCGATGTACTTTTATACCTCAGCTATCCATGTGTTCCACTTTCTATGACCCAGGAGATATATATTTCCGACTCAGAATGTCTTGACCCGGTTCGTTTTTTGTGGTTTTATTTAAGTAAATTTGCCGCGTTTATAGGTACAATTAATCACAAAGTGACGCAAAATTTTGAGGTTCGCTTCCAACAGGGTATTGTATACGCAGACCTCGTCAAACGATCGCCCTAGTATTGGCTGCAGTTGTCAAACTAAGGTACCCTACCATCTAACAATTTGAAAGTTTCGACAAGTTGACTAAAATGTCTCAAGTCAAGCATTATCCATAAACATTCCTTGGGAGATCCGCAAACTTTCTTCTTTGACATGAGAGTGAACACACCGATGGTCACGAGGAGCTGGTTGATTATTCGACCGTGTGAAACAAGCAAGGAGTCACCACTCGCGGAAAATATCAAATGACCTTTGGTCGTACTCCTAGAAGGTTATTTATTTTCGGTACCCATAGGGAACATAAGTGGAAAAACCGATTTCTTTCGGTTATCGAAAACAAATTATTTCCACTAAATCTTGATAGGAAAATTGCTAGTTAAATTACAGTAAACACTGTTGAACAGTGGTGAGGCTCGAAAATGGTTTTCCTTCTTTCACTGTTATCAGTAACTGTGTTCCTGATTAATGTCTGTTCACACCCCAGACACATCACATGCAGTGTCCAGCGGAAGAGACCAATTTCCACGGAATTGATTGTCACATATTTGAGAACCCCAAACCGATGACCATGGCACTATCGGTGCTTGTGCTAATTGAAATGTTCAATGCACTCAACAGGTACTTTAAGTTTTCCCGTTCCCCTTTTTTGTCTATTTATTCAAATCCGTTTCTCTGTTCTCTCTGTGTCTGCTGTCTAGACACATCAGTCTCAATGTCTTGCTCAGGAGTCACGTTTTGAGGGAATCGATTGCGCCATATTTACGCATCCGAAACCCATGACTATGGCTCTTTCAGTGCTCGTTCTGATCGAGATGCTGAACGCAATGAACAGGTGAGTAGGCCGCCGCCGCCACCGTCTATCCTACTCGTATTTGACCCCTGTCGTCATGACGACTGAGACCAAACAATCGGATAATGTGCATGTGGTTCGATGCAATTTCACTCTGATTCTCTATGACAGTCTGTTGTACCTCCCATTTCATGCTGAACAAAGGGGCTCCTAGGGTAATGTGGCCGATTGTTACTGGATAAATGGCACGAAAAGGATTTGTATTGCGCTTTGAAATCGGAGAATCTGCAAACGCCTGCAAGCTTAAGTGTATCCATCATTCATCTTTAACGCCTTTTATCAAAAGCTGTTTATGGTAAGCCTGTAGTGTCCGACAAGGCAACATTCCCCGTGGAGCCCTTTAGGATCTCAGTAGTAGGCTGCCGCTGGGCTGTATACATAAAACGTATAATAATTCAGACGACTGAAATAAGCTGAACAAATACGAAAACCATGAAAGCCCCTTTGCTCGGCTGAACTGGTCAGTCAGAAGCGCTGTCATATGCAAAACAATTCGCTTGGGCAATATTTTGCCCCGAACCCGGACCTGTAGTTTCCTGGTCTGCCCTACACATGTCCTTGGGATGTCTCTAAGGCCCAAGTGACTCCGTAGGTGAAGATCTTGAATAAAATGAACCAAATATGAAATAGTTGATTCCACCAGTGGCGGCCTACTCACGAGGTTCATCGTGTTCAGTGCATGGATTTGTGTGTGCTTTCGTGTGTGCGTGTATGAATTTATAGTTTGTTAGCATGTTTTACTGGTTTCCTTTTTTTGAATCTGACGTAATCTTTATGTTTGATTGGATTTTTATGGTAACTCTTTTGTTTGCTGAGAAGATCGTGTAGAGAACTAGTTGGTCCATATTTGTCATATTCGGTCTAAAGTTACGTACTCACTCAAGCAAGCGGAACGCCCCCAGATTGTGGTAGAAAATCGATTGTCCGTACACAAGAAAGTGTTGTAATTTGAGATTGACACTGCCTATTCAGAAAAACTTAAGCGGTAATATAGTGTAGTAGGGTAATTTTGCTTCAACCGTTGCTCTCAAGAACTGCTTTGTGAAAGTGGACGTTACGGAAGGTCAAAGTGATGCATTGTGGGTGGATCTTATTGTCCTTTCTTCATTGTGAGAATCAGAATGTGCGTTCTGACTGGCGGTAATCGCAACCATGCCAAACTCCCCACAATCGACACAATTAGAGCTTTCTAGACCAATACGAATCGACCAACCATAGAAAACTATGAAGTATAGGTTAGCAGAATTCAGGAACAGGAGGTGATTGGTTATCGCATACAACTTTGCGACCGTGACTGAGTCCAGAGGAATTCAAAAGCTATTCACATAAGGGCTTGCTGTTATCCATCTAAATAAGACGAGCCTAACCTAATTCCAAGAAACTGACGAAAACCTCTGATCTTTCTTGACGCCAGTGCCTTGATCAGCTAGAATACCAGACGTTAACCTGGGATAGAATTATGAGGCGAACAGATGCATAAAACTTGCGGAATGTACTGCTAAGCAATAAGTCTGATGTTTGTGCCACCAGCAACTGTAGTTTTCAAATATAAATGAAATAGTTTTGGTGAATGTCACTTAGCAGTTATCGCAAGTGCTGGTTATATTTTATTGCCTCCTAAGACGTTTCAATTCAGTAGTTTATAGTTTTTATGGCATGTAGTTTACCTTGCACTGGGGAATGCTTCCTTTTCTTGTTTTTAGCTTATCTGAAAACCAGTCTCTCTTCGTGATGCCTCCGTGGGTGAACCCCTGGTTGATGCTGGCCATGGTGCTCAGTATGTCATTGCACTTCCTCATTCTTGAGGTCGATTTCCTCTCGGTGAGTTGTCTTCTATTCACATTCGTTTCCATACCACAAATTTCAGCTTTTCGCTTTAGTAAAACGGCCTCCTGAGAAGGTAGTTGGAAAGAACTTGAACTCGCATTTCATGCTCATCGCAGATATATCAGTTATTCAACTGGTTTCCTTCGCATCTTTATCACATCGTTCAGACCGTTCTTCATGTTACAGCAGAGGAATAAAAACCATATAATTATTGTAAGCATTGAACATGTGAGTACCAGTGCTTAATTTGTCTGACTCCCCATCTTCGCATCTAAACTTATCCATCACGCGAGTTTTTGCATTACTCATTAGTAGTCCAGACCATAGCCTAAATCAGCCATTAATTTTGTCCCGAAAGAGCTGTATTAGGGAGCACTGTGGTTGCTATTTCTCAGGTCAACACTTCGTCCATCCTTAGTCAGTTGGCCAGCACATAAGTCCTGCATAAACCGTGCTAAGCCCAGCTACTTCACTCTTCCAGCATCCCGAAAATTGGAAGAGATTCTGACATCTACGGGAGAGTATCTTAAAAGTGAGAGTTGTGGTTTACAAGTAATTGTACACCTGTTGCACAGACACACCTCCGCTCTTCTAACTCATATTTCTTTCTTACTATCTTCTGATGTTTTCCAAACCATTCAGTCACCAAACATCACTTATCAGCTAAGCTATTGATGGAGTGAATCAAATAATCAGTGCCCTCCAAAGTAGTAATGCTGGCACAGCTTACCAAATCAGCCTCTCCCATACTGCTACGGAATTGGGTTGTCCGAAAAAGATTTTGCTGCAACCAAATCGACTGATCTCACAACAGATTCGTCCCAATAAAACGTAGCTCTGAAAGTCGATCATTTCTTAAATCGCTGCAAGGCGCACACGCTCAAATACAATTCAAGCAATTTTTCGATCCAGTTCATATCACGTAACCACTTTGAAACATTGATTTCTCAGTAAGTGGACTATTAAAAACAGGGAGACAATCCACCGTATTTTGGGTTCTTCACGAAGGAGTCATTCCAATAACTTGATGGATCTTAATTCCAAATTGTCTTTGAGATCCATGAAAGTACCGTAGCCCAGCCTACCTAGCACTCTCCCAACTATACCGATCCACTAGAGCAAGGGATATTAGCTAGCCGGCCGATCTCTCCTACGGGATACCTCCAACGAGCAAAGCCATCCAGGGGAGAAGAAATGCCTTAAAAGGAGAGGTGACTACGTTTTCTTCAGAACTCTTCAGGTAAAAAAGAAGGGGGAAATCAAGTGCTGCTTACACAACGAGCCTAACAGGAGCAGCTAACCAGACATGTGAGTTTTACAATCACTTAGCGATATGGTCATTACTGAAAACAAATATCTGTTAAACAGATACCCTCATTTGCACACAAATTTGGTTTTGACAAGAGGCCCAACTAAATACAGCTGAATATTTCATTTATGAGTAATGAGGTAGGTCTAAAGACCTACGCAATTTGTCGAGAAAAAAAATCCTAGGAGCTAATCAGCTTTCTTCTTCTTTACTGAACGGGAGAACTGAGTGTGGCATTAACATATTACCCAAGAACATTTCTGGCGTCGTCTGTTCTTCCCGTCGACAAACAGCACTCGAAAAGCCTTGTGGTGAAAGTCGAATAAAAGTGAGGTTGAATTCTACCGAAACTGACGCCAAGTTCAAACGATTTGATGTATACACTATGCTTAAACAAACTATGGGAAAAGTCAAAAGATTCTGTCGATTCATTCAGTGAAGAGATACACGAAAATATATTTGAAGGTGGACTTTGTTTAACCGACCGTGAAGCACTTCAACAAAAGACTTGTTAAACGGTTCACTATAACGACCACTCGAAATACAAGTACTCACCCTTCTGACACAAGATTTCCTTCTCTATATCTGAATGCAACCGTCTAAATGTCATAAAAGTGCTCTACCAATGTTTGCCAGTTGTTCTGGTCCTCTATCACTCTAAATTATCTTTTCGGTCTACAGAAAGTCTTTCAAATTACACCTTTAACACTGGAAGAGTGGTTCATGGTGATCAAGATCTCACTGCCTGTCTTACTCATTGATGAGACACTGAAGCTGATCGCCAGGAAATTCACTGATGGTAAGTTGGACTTTGTGATAAGGTGCGTCTGCCAACTTCAGCTATTTGTGCTGGAACGATACTTGTGCACCAGGATCATGTTGGTTAGTCTACCAACAAGTTGTGTCCATGTGTGAAAAGCGTGATTGCCATTTTCACAAAGAGAATTACTCAAAAGGTCGCCAAAAACCATTCGAAAGCCTATGGTTGTGATTATTTACCCATCATTTTCCTCCTCTAAGAAAACCGTGGTTTTAGAACCAAAACAACGCTTTAGAAAGTTGGTAACTGCACAAAAACTAGGTACCGTGGCATTAGAAATTATTGTAATTTGCTGGAAAACTAAACAATATTTATATGTGTAGCATCGCAACTGTCATTTTAATGGTTCCAATTTTCCCCTGTTTCGTTTTTTTTCACAGTTCCGGTGATGCGAGAGGAGGTCAAGTAAAGCAGGAGTACAAGTTTGAATTATATACTTTAGTGTTACTCATGGCCTGATCACCGGCTTCTCTTTCTCCAAAGAGCCTATTCGTATAAATAGAGAGTTTAAAAGTTTTGCTCCGTACATACACACTTTGTACCCCCTCCCTTCACCTTCGGTCCCTCGTGTTCGCAGGTTGTCTCACTCCCCATCGCAACAATAAGAATAGTGTCTTGGTTTTTTAATTATTAGCACCAGCCCCACAGTTCCGGTTGGTTCATCCCATATTTCGTGCATTTTCCCCAAAATTCAAAACACTTCCTCTATCCACTTTCACCCATGATCATCCCCCTGCCCTTGGCCTGTGAAGGCAGCAGCATTCAGTTTAGCTGTATAGAGTATTCTTGCCACAGACTGACGGATCATTTTACTGTTGGAGGTCAAACATCTACTGCTGTCGGTCGAAAAAGTTTCCGCCTTGTAATTTGCACCAAACTTGTTCTTCTGCCCATATTTCCTAAGGCCGGGAATGAAGACGCTTCTAGATTAATCTACTGTTGTGTTACTGAGCAAGAACAGGGTTGTTTTTTCTTCCAATATCAGCTTTCTTCTCCCTGCTGTGAGATCATGGTTTCTGTCAGTACACGGTTGTAAGAGACGGAGTTGTGCTGAAAACAATCGAGCTCCATTGACTTGTCTGGCTGCCGTTCACCGTCCTCTCTTCCAACACTCACTCGTAATAAACGTTGCTCATAACACCACCGTGTCGTGTGTGTGAACAATATTTTCTGTACGTCGACACAACACAAGCATCCATTCTGTCACACTCAGCTCACAATACCCGTTAGAAGAGTTGAACTACTCCGTACAAAAACTTCACTCCAAGCCATGGATAAACAATGGCGCCGGACAAAATTTACTCTCACAAACAAATACTTTCCTCATTTCGAAATCTAGTGGGTAGAATTTCCATTTTCCTTTTCTCCGATTGGTTGCAGAGATCTTCCCAATTCGGATTAAATAAAAACCCTATCGTGAACATGTCTTGCCTCTTTGATAAATCACATGGTTGTTGTGCGAATTTCGGATTTTTAGTTGAGAATGAACTGGGTGCTGATTGCAAGGAGTTCATCGAATTTTCTCGCAATGAGCTCCAGAAAAATTCAAACTATTCGAAACACTTCTCAGTTTTTTCATTATTGCGACTATGTTCTAGCCCCAGAAACAGTAGTTTGTAGGAATGTCTGTATATATAGCGATCCACTATAGTCCCGATGACGAACACTAACTGATCATAATTCCAAACGTTTTGCATCCTGATGGTATCAGGAGTGAAGGCCACTGTGATGCTGCTGAACCGTAGCCTAAAACAGACCCCTTGCGCATATTTCTAATGGTGGCACTACGGCAATTTCAGCGTCTCTTGTTAAAAAGGGGACTCGGATGGCATGGTGGATAAAAGCATGGATTATCATAACCTGTTCATGGAGGCCTTCAGACTAATCGCCAGCACGATCCTCATTGCTTCACACACTACTTACGAAGTAGTGAAGCAAAAAATCAAGAAATTGGATTGTTTGAATGCCAGGCACCTTCACTAGCAACCTTAAAAACCTGCTGCTTTGTGAGTCACACCTAAACGTGCAAAATTCAGGGCAGTATGTTCGAAACGCACTCCACACAGTGCTGAGAGCACCGAGGCAGACAAAATGTTTCCTACATGCTAATATACAGTCGTAAGATCTCTCGGACAGCCGAAACAGAATAGGATGAGGGAAGTCGCTCTACCGAAAGTGGCTCCACTTAAGGTGCTCCCATACAACGCTGAACGGTTAGCGTTTTCTTTAATTTGCAATCCCGAAAACTCACACCATCGAAAATGATTAAATAACTCAGACTACCAATAGTCTCCCATCAACTCGTAGGTTATGTGAAAATGAGGCAGCATGAGTTCAAACTGGTTCCATAATTTACTTGTTTTCGGACGATTTACTGATTTACTGATGTCATGACATGCAAAAAAGGAGCGGGAATCGACGTGCAAGGGAGTAATAAGCGTTACCTTTACAGCATATTCGTTGCCAGAATAGAGCATAACTTTAGACGGACCAACAACTTCAGCCCGTGAATGAGGCAATCTTGGTCCGATTTTTGGTGACGCCTTGACATGCTGTAACCACAATGTGTCTAGGAACTCCATAAATTTTACAAATATGCACGCCTAGTAACATCTCATACCTCATGTTCTACTCTTCCAATGTTAGAAATATAGATATAGCCTCAGTGTCTACGATCGATAACATTATGAACATTCCATGCACTGAGATGTTGTGTGTGTATGGGCAAAGGGACAAAACGATGGTTTGTATACGTTAGTTGGTGAATACAATGATGCTCGCGGATGTAATTGACCCGAAAAATTCACCAAGTCTCAGAAATAACGGCTCCAGATTTTGTAAAACTGAAGGAACTGGTCGATACCGATTTTCAACACTAGTGAAAACAGTGAAGATTTCGCTTGTCCATATCTTGAAAAACATAAGTCCATTTGAAGAGGGTGTGCTTCTTATCGACACCAAAATGGTACTGATAGATTTTACATTTACCATCTGCTAATATTTTGTGGAATATTTAAACAGCTGATAAATGCTTCGCAGAAGAGACGAGGACACTGACAATTGGCTTTGGTCCAGACAATGAATGACACTGAGTACCACATTCTATATATTCGAGGCAATCCTGTAGGAGAAAGTTAGGTGGAAAGTTAGCGCCAACTTAGTAGATTATCCAGAAACTTGCCCCACATTATTGCTTGTGCTTCCGAAGGGCAAGCGAAACCTCTGCAGAATTTGAATTCCTATATCCTGCAGCACCGTTGTAGAAAGTGACTAGTTACTCATAAGGGAACGGCTAACATATGTCTAAGACTGGTGATACTTCCATCAATACACAATAAACAGGTAGCGACAACACCTCCGTTGATTACTCACTGACATGCTTTATCTGTTGAATGAACAAGAAACCTGTTTATTCAGCTTCTACTGTGTTTGAACACGGCCAGACTGCGTAGCACCTCTGGGTAACCACCCCGATACATATGCCGAAGCAGACAGGACGTAGACAAACCATATCCTGATGCGTATTCGTTCGCGTGAATGATCTCTGTTCCCTCTGCCTCAGTCGGCATCGCATTCTACGGTCAAGTTGTCGCTTGTTTCATGTTCCACTTGACGCAATGGTGCAGAATTCAGTACCACATATTGCACGCCCGTACAAGACCCGAGCAGTTTGCTCCGTTGTCGGGAGAGCCGATAGCTACGCTGCGTGTACCTACACACGCGTGAAATTTCGTCACACAAGTATAAAAACGATCACCACCCACCGGTGTGTTGATGTTTGTCTGTAGGATATGCGAATATGGACGAATCAATCGGACGAACACGAAAGACAACCGTGAATGCAGCTGGCATGTTGAGAAGTAAACCTTTTTCGGTGTTTGATTTACTGACCAAGTACGACACGGGATTAAACAGTCCTCATTCTATCCTGGCTAAATGATTCTGGTGAATTCACATCCAAAATACTACACCCGGGTTTCGCCCTTATTGGAGCTAATCAGTAGTGCATATCATTGGCCGTGTGAGGACATTGGCATGCGAGACAAGCGTGTTACCACTACTCCACGAGCACACTGGAAGCACATGAAGCATCACAACAGGCGAACATGTTCATGCTTGAGTCATGTGGCTTGTCTTCCAACGCCTAGAGCGACGGCGACTTCAACAGGCAGACGAAAATCTGTCTGTTATGTTTCAGGCCACACTTTTTCCTACTGATTGATTAAGTGTCGATCAACTGACCCACCCGTCAGTTAGATGGCACGACGGACGCTTCAAACGACTTTTACTACTGTAAGATTTGTAGAATTCACGTTCACATGACTTTCGTTTAAACAGTGCTCCTCAGGTCAACTGCTAACCTCCTTTGAGGTGGGCTAGCTAGAATAATTGCTCCAGGCCATGAGGATGACTGTTCGCAAGAGAATGTGGTGAATGGGGATTCTACAATGTGGATACTCGAAACCCCTTGGATCGCTCGGATGGCCATTAGTCATAGGTACAAGCACGTCAGTTGTCTAATTTGTATGGCTGTCCTATCGAGAGACCCGTCTCTATGGAATCACGTTTTCCACATAGAACAACACATGATAGACTTGGGTGGACATTGTTTGGAGTTGTCAAGCCGAATAATAACTTAATAAAAGCCACAGGCACGCGATATTTAACCATATCTGATTTTGTGACCTGAAGCATGATAGATTTCGCCTATTTGCTGGAGTCGACCAGAATGACACGAACACCCAATGGCACCCGTTTTACCACGCAACCAGGAGTTGAAGGTGGATAAAGCCCGTGAACCAGTTCGGGCGTGAACCTAGCTGCCCTCTCAAGAAAGTTCGCTCGGTGAGCAAGTGGATTTGTACACACAAGGGACGATATTGTTGGTCCAGAATCTGTCATTCAGTCGCTGACCTACGACTAACACAGACTGTCAGCGTCACAAACAGTCTTATCAGTTTAGTATTTTACTGCATGCCTGCTTGGGTGAAACTTCCTCGATAAAATTCACTAGGGAGAAGTATCCCAGGAATTTGAGTTTGCCCCGAATCACGCCATAGCTTCTGTTCCAATCTCTGTTCGCGTCTTTTTGGTCTCGGCAAGTTTTTCATCGCGATAACTCACTCTGCGTCACAGGGAGACGAACATCCCTTAGTATCCGGGATTAGTCCAGTCCAAATCATCCTCGTCTTCCAGAAAAAGTAGTCTCTTTGATATGCGCTGGGTCATTCAAGCCTCTCTGGCCTTAACTGCAATTTCTAAGCCTTTTGATGCTTGGTGGACTATCGACCTGTATACACTACTACTGCTATCTGCCATAAGCGCGTTGTACTTTCCACGTACCAACAGTCGTCATGTTTCTCCAAACCGTACAGTAACTAAGTGTAAGCATGTAACCAGCAACGGATTCCAAGTGAATCATGTCAAGCTTGCCATATTTGTATTCGATTCTACTTCGAACGAATTCGTCCATGTGAAACCACTATCCGTAAATTCTTCCGATGGAATCCTTGTTGTAGGCCAACTCTAAATAGATCTACCGATCGTCAGCAAACTTTTTCGAAAACGGTTACTACTCAGTCGGTTCCAAGTATTTCACACCTGATTGAACACACTCTAGGTTGTTCAAGATAATCCATTTGGACTTATCCAGTCGTGCAATCGCCCTGACTTTTTGATTCCGATGGGGAAGTGCATATACTACCTTCATTGAACAGAAATAGGCACAACGTTTGTACAGTGTCAGTCCTCTGGAGTAGCAGACTGCCTAAAAATAACCAACACAAGGAGCCATCTGTACAAGCAACAACTCTGTATAGAACTAATGCCTATCTATTGACTCTAGATACTTAAATACAGTCAAGGATGTGTACCCCAGTTTGGCGGTAGAGATATCTGTCTTTACGGAGTTATATGCTACGAATTCATCCTCGGTTGTATCAGGTATTCTTTGACATCCCTTAACTTTGAACATTTCGATGGCTTCATTAGCTTCATGAATATGTGAAACAGGATGCCACAACTAAGGCAAATGCTTCGAAATTCCATCTGAAGGAAGACCACAGCAAGATAGAGAGCAACAGATGCAGCGGAACTAATAGGGGAGATGACTGGAGGCGCCGCGTCATTTCACATAAGCAGTGCAAATGCAATGCCTGTATCTCCTCCAAGTTAGAGTTAGCTGTGCACTGTCCTACTTATCGTCATTCGTGAAGATGGAACACACTACGCAAAAGGTTACTGAATACGGCTCGACAACCGGTCCCGCCCGTCTTGGGGCTCATCAGGTAGCCGTCATTCTTATGTTTGACTGGTTTTTACTGCTATTTTCGGTGATATTTTTCCTACTATTTTTTTCAATCCCTCCACGACTTTGGAATAAGAGGTTGATGTGGCAGATCATCGTTTTCCACCACACATCA